TGGAGCAAAAAGGCAGAGTGTGCCTTGTTTAACCTCATCTGGAAACATGCATGTTGGGAGACTTAAATTTCTCATTACTCTGTGCATGTCAATGAATGACCACAAAAGTGCCACCAGTATTTATTTTGAGACTACAAATTAATTTTAGAGAGTAGCTGAATTTGTGAATACAAAATTCATAAAAAATATGGGTCAACTGTGTATTATTAACAGCATTAAATGTAAATAGATTAAATAATCCAATCACAAGGCAGAGGCTTTCAGACTGGATTAAATAAAAAACAAGATGTAACTAGATGCTCTGTAAAACAGGCATTCTTTGTATTCCAATATACAACTAGATTGAAAGTAAACAGAGATAAATCATACAAACAGCAATCATAAGAAAAATTGTTACTAGAGATGAAGAGTAACATTTTATAAGGATAAAAAGTCAACCTATCATGAAGATATAATAAATGTAAACATACATGCAAATAATAACAGAGCACCAAAATACATAAGCAAATGCTGACAGAAGTGAAGAGAGAAATAGACAAGTCAACAATATTAATTGAATAGTTCAGTACTGCAATTTCAATAATGGATAGAATAACTAGGTAGAAGATCAACAAGAAAAAGGAAAACTTGAATACAATAAACCAATAAAATCTAGCAGGCATATGTAGACTACTCCACCCAATGACAGTAGAATATCCATTTGTTTGAAATGCATATGCAGCATCATCTAGGATAGACATATGTTAGGTCATAAAATAAACCTCCAGTAAATTTGAAAGGACAGAAATAATGCAAAGCATGTATTCTGGCCACAGTAAAATAAAATAAAATTAGAAATAACAGAAAAAAACTGGGGAAACAGACAAATATGTGAAAATTAAACAGCACACTCTTATATAACCAACCAATAAGTCAAAAAAGAAATCAAAAGGAAAATCTTAAAATACATCAAGATGAATAAAAGTGAAACCCAAAATACCAGAACTAATGAGATATAGCAAAAGTATTGCTTAGAGAGAAATTTATAGTTGTAAGTATATGTATTAAGAAGGATCTCAAATCAATAACTTAACCTACTTTAAGATGCTGGAGAAAGAAGGGCAAACTCAAAGCAAGCACAATGAAGGATATAACGAAGATTACAGTGGAAATAAATAAATAAAACCAATTCTTCACAGCTCTTTTAAAAACTAAAAGGAAGTATTGCTTCCTAACTCATTCTATGAGGCTAGTATTATTCTCATACCATAATCACACAAAGACATCACAAGAAAAGAAAACTACAGACCAATACCAATATCTCTCATGATATGAATGCAAAATACTCAAGACAATACTAGCAAACTGAATCCAGCAACATAAAAGAAAAATTATACACCATGGCTAAATGGGATTTATCCCTGGGATGCAAGATTGTTTAATATCTAAAAATCAATTAACATGTCATATAAACAGAATTTTAAAAATAGCATAATTATAAAATAGATGCAGAAAAAAGCACTTGATAAAATTCACCATCCTTTCATGATAAAAACACTCAATAAGATAGCTAGAGCAGGAAACTTGCTCAATCTGCTAAGGGCTTCTGTGAAGGATCCACAATTAACATCACACTTTGTGGGAAAAAATAAAAAGCATTCATATTGGAAAATAAGAAACAAATTATCTCCATTTACAGATGATATGATCTTATATATAGAAAACACTAAGAAATGTGTTAAACAACTGCCAGCTCAGCAAGGTTGCAGGATACAAGGTCAACACCCAAAAATCAGTGTCAAGTGTGGTAGCTCACATCTGTGATTTCAGCACTTTGGGAGGCCCAGACCAGCCTGGTCAACATGGCGAAACCCCATTTCTACTAAAAATACAAAAATTAGCTAGGCATGGTGGTGGGAGAATCACTTGAATCTCGGAAACAGAGGTTGCAGTGAGCCAAGATTGCACCACTGTATTCCAGCCTGGGTGACAGAGTGAGACTCTGTCTTAATAAATAAATAAAGTATTTCTACATATTTGCAATAAACAAGCCAAACACGAAATTAAGAAAACAATTCTATTTATAATAGCATCAAAAAGAAAAAAAATACATAGGACTCGATTTGGCAAAAGAAGTATAGAACGTATACTCTGAAAACTACAAAACATTATTTTTGTTTTGTTAAAGATGTAAATCAATGGAAAAGCATCATATGTTCATGAATCCAAAGTCCATGATCCACTCATGTTAATATTGTTAACATGACAATACTCCCCAAATCAATCTACAGACTTGTCTACTCTCAAGCTAAGTTCTTTGTAGATATTCACGAGTTGACTATAAAATCAATATTTAATTCCAAGGAACCCAGAATAGCCAAAACAAAATTTAAAAAGAGGAACAAGGTTGGTTGACTCATAGTTCCCAATGTAAAGATTTACTACAATGCTACAGTAACCAAGACTGTATGGTACAGGTATATAAATAGACAAATGAATCAATAAAGTAAAATTGAGAGTCCAGAAATAACCCACATATCTATGTTCAATTTATTTCTCACAAGGTTGCTGAGACCATTCAATGAGAAAAAAATTATCTCCTTAGCAAATGGTGTGGGGGCAACTGAATATCTAAATACAAAAGAACAAAATTGACCCCTACCTCACACCATACACAAAAATTAAATGCATTGAAGAATTACATGTAAGTACCAAAACTATAAAACTCTTAGAAGAAAACATATGGGTAAGTCTTCATGACCTTGGATTTGGTGTTGGATTCTTGGATATGACACCAAAAGTACAAGCAACAAAATACAAAAAAAAAAAAAAAAAAAGATAAATTGAACATCATCATGGTTTAAAAGTTTTGTGCTCCAAAGGGTTCTACCAAGAAAGTAAAAGGAAAACCCACAGAATGGGAGAAAATATTTGCAAATCATATATCTGATAAGGGGCTCATCAAATATATGAAGAATTCTTTTCAACAGAGCAATACAAAGTCCCTTAATTTATGAAAAACTGGGCAAAAAATTTAAATGAACACTTCTCCAAGGAAGACGCACAAATGGCCAATATACACAGGAGAGACGTTCAACCCCACTGTTCATCAGGGAAGTATACCTCAAAACTATAATCAGACACCACTTCATGACCTTGAGGATGGCTGGAGCCAAAAAGTCAGTTGACAAGTGTTGGCAAGGATGTGATGAAATCAAAACCATTGCACACCACTGGCAGGAATGTAAAATGCTGCCAGAAACCTTGGTAAACAGGCTGGCAGTCCCTCAAAAAGTTAACTGCATGATGCAGGAATCCACTCCTAAATGCATCCACAGGAGAAACGAAAACGCGTCCACACCACCCACGCAAAAGTGCATACAGGAATGCATAAATGCCTGTAGTAACATTATTCTTAACAGCCAAATGGTGGAAGCAATCTACACGTCCGCCAGCTGAGGAAAGGCCAGTTCACTGTGGTAGGCCCATACTGTGGAGTAGTATTTGACCATAAGAAGGAATGAAGTGCTGACACAAGCCGCAGCAGGGATAAACCTTGAAGACATTCTCAGCAAAAAAAGCCAGTCACAAAAGACAAATACACCCTATGATTTCCTCTGCGTGGAAGTGCAGGAGAGGTAAATCCCTAGAGACAGAAAGGAGCGTAGTCCCTGCTTAGCACTGGGCTGATGCAGGGTCCAGGGTGATAGCTGATGAATACAGGCCTTCCTCCAAAGTGAGGAAAGTGTCCTAAAATTGCCTGCACATATCTGTGGATCTACCAAAACCCATCAAATTATACACTAAATGGGTGAGTTGTAGGGCATGTAAATTACATCTCAATGAAATTGTTAATAACTATGAGTCATGGCTGGGCTCGGGAGATCACACCTGTAATCCCAGCATTTTGGGAGACTGAGGCAGGAGGATCAAGACCAGCCTGGGCAATATAGTGAGATCCCCACCTGTACAAAAAAATTTTTTTTTTGTTTTGCTAGAAGTGGTGGCACGCACCTGTAGTTCCAGCTCCTTGGAGGCTGAGGTGGGAGGGTAGCGTTAGCCTGGCAGGTTGAAGCTGCAGTGAGCCATGATTGCGCCACTGAACTCCAGCCTACATTACAGAACAAGATCCAGGCTCAACATAAATAAATAAATACAATGTTAAAAGTATGGTGCATGACAGAAAGTGAAAAGATAAAGCAGAAAACAGAGCCAGTCTTTGAGGTGACCGAGTGGTCCACATAATGAATATTGGAATCATGCTCAAGAAAAAGAACCAAGATGATGAAGGCTTTAACCTGAACATTGGCATTTATATTTTTAACAAATGGAAGTTAGGGAACTGGAAAATATCGACACTGAGAACTCAGTGGTTGGGGTTGCCACAGGTTAGAAGGAGGAGGAGAGAGGATGGGTGCATATGGAGAGACCAGTGCATAGCGACACGCGGCATGTCACACGGCCAGAGCAGCAAGAAGGGCTTTCCTTTGTTAATCAGTGGTGCTGAAATGGAAAAGCAATTCATCTTTATTTGGTTCAGAAGGAGCTGCTGCACAGATACGGCATGCACTGTCCCAGAAACCATGGGGAGGCGACAGACACAAACATTATTGTCTTTGCCCTCCAAACTAGTAGGCAGAGGATGGGATGGGGCTTGTCGGTCAGATTTGGGACTGATGGCACTTCAGGTCTTAGATAAATGAGGCTACAAAGTGCACCTTTTAGACGTGATTTTATCGTTAGCTCTTCCTGCCAAAGGGTGCCAACATAAAAACTCTGAGCACTAGACCCTCCATTGCAGGAATTGGCTGTGCAAACCCTAGTGAATGGTCACACACACTCTGTCATACTGCCAGTGACAGGGACCTCACTACCCAGCAAGACAAGCCACTCTTGATCTCAAGGAAACCCAAGGAGTCCTTGACAAATGCCGTCCCCTGACCTGTGCCCTCACTGGTACTGGAAACCTCACAAGGGAAAACGAGGCTATTCTAACACGAAGAGCAGAAGGTGCCACTGACCTTGGCTGGAAGCCTGGGAACTCTCAAAGTTATGACGATGGAAAATTCTTCAGGGAAGAGGTCACAGCGGGAGAAAATCCTGGATGCGGGGAAGCTCATGGTGTGGGGGGCGGCTGCGGAGAGCTGGAGTCCTCGCGCACCGTGAACCTGGACGATCCTGATCCCGCTCGTGGCGCCATCGGAAGGGACCACCTCCGCCAGGACGTCCAGGGGCCGCAGGTCTGTAGCAAAGAAATCACAGGTGGGTTAGGCCAGGACACCCCCAAGAAAGGATACTCACGACAGCCGACATGTTTGGGGCGTCGCGTGGCAGACTGTTTACCTAGCACAGCGGCCCCTGTGAGCTGTGACCCATGCTTATCTCTGTTTCGCCAGTGATGAAACAGAGATAAAAGTGCCTGCACATACCTGTGAACCTACCAAAACCCATCAGATTATACACTTCAAATGGGTGAGTTGTAGGGCGTGTGAATTACATCTCAATCAAACTTAATAAGTATGAGTCATGGCTGGGTGTGGGGGATCACACCTGTAATCCCAGCACTTTGGGGGACTGAGGCAGGAGGATCAAGACCAGCCTGGGCAATATAGTGAGATCTCATCTCTAAAAAAAAAATTTTTTTTTAATTCGCCAGAAGAAGCTCCATGAGGCGTTCCCGTGTGGCCTCCCTCCGGACCCTGCTCCTGGGGGATTTCGCGCCTGCTTCTGAGCTGCAGGAAACATTCCGCCCATTGCTGCTGTTAGCGAATCGGCAGCCAAAGGCACTGTGCAGGGTGGGCTGTGCGGGATGAAGGAAGGAACGCACGGCCCCCTGCGGCCACGGGGACCCCCAAGGAAACGCGGGAAGCGGCTGGGAGTGAGACCACGCAGCCCCAGCCCCCATCTGCTGGCCTCCCTTGGGTCCCTGCGCTGCCCTTGGGCACTGTGGGAGGCTGGAGCCACTGTGGAGCTGGCAGTGCCTTCCCCTTGTCCCCATCCGGGCATGCAGGGGTAGCGGATAAGCTCCTGCGGAACCTCGGGTTCACGGTTCAAAGTCGGTGGGAACATAACTGATGGGCTGGCCTGGCTCCTCTGAGGCTGGATGGCAGGGAGGAAAACGCAGCAGGGAGGGCCTTCCGGGCTGGCAGAGGGCTCCAGGCCAGATCCCTGGCCCAGGCTGAGTGGCTGCGAGCACAGCCTGAGGCTGAGGCCTGGACCCTCCTCAGCCAGGCCACTGCAGCTGGCCCCAGCCTGGGTAAATGCGGGGCATGGCTGAATGAAGCAGGTTTCTGGAGCTGTCTCCCTTGGTGTTGTTGAGGGGCCTCCTGCCTCAGCCTGGCCTCGAGGTGTTGGGGTCAGTCCACTCTGGCATTCAGTCCTCTCTGTTCATCTTCTCCCACATGCCCGTCCTGGCTGGCGTTGCCCGGGGGTGTCATGGATTCCCTGGGGAGGCCTTTGAAAGGCCTTGGTCAAAGATCTCAAGCAGAGGCCTTCCTCCCCGGCCCAGCGGTGCGTGATGGGACCCCAGCGAGCGGCCGGAGAGCAGGACTCCACTCCCGGCCAGAAGGCAGCCCTTCCTCACACCGCCATGTGCATGCAGTGCCACCGCTGCAGTGACACTTGGGTCCTTGACATCCTCCAGAGAGTGTGAGCACCTGGAGCGGGGCGGGTCTGCAGAAGAGCCTACCCTAGAGAAGCATCGCTGTCTGCACACGTGCACGCCAGGTGTCAACGGCACAGGCGCACGTGAGGGTGTGGATGGCGCTTCTCTATTAGAAAAACCGGAGGTGACCCAGACATGTAGTGCAGGAACAGCCAGCAATCCTGGCAGCTGGACGCGCTGTGAGCATCAGTGCTGCGTGGGGTGGCCCAGGCATAGAGCAGGAAGATGTGGCAGGACATACCGTGGGCCAAGGATGGAAAAGACACGCAGGGCCCAGGGCGGGGGGGTGACACACAGCACCAGAGAGTGTGGGGACCTGCAGATGGGGGAGCGCTGCGAAGAGAGGGTGGCCTGCTTTTGAAAAGAAGACAGGAGATCGTATATTATTGTTATTATTTATGCAATTCAATAGTAACAAAAGGCAGAGTGTGAGGAGGTTTGTCACTTCTTGGAAAGACCCTGTGCTGTAAAACGTGCCGTCATGCAGGGACGGCAACAGTGGGCACTGTCTAGAGGGTTCTGTGCGCAGTAAGCGCCCCCAGTGGAGGCCGCTGTGTGTGTCTGGGCGGGGGGTCCCAGGCTGACTCTGGGAGGATTCTGGCATCTTCGTGTGGGGGGATTCTATGCCTCATGGTTCTGATGTCAGCCCAAGTCTCAGGCTGCCGGGGGTGGGGGATGAGACCCCACATTCTGTGGCATTGTGCCCTGTGTGCCCTGGAGAGAGTGGGTCCCAAAGTAAACCCCACGCACCCTCACTGCCCCTCCCCTCAGTCTCAGAGAGACACTGCTTCAGGGCACCTCCTGGTGCTGGGCTCACCTCGGGGGTTTAGCTGGAGTACAAGCACGGGCCACCCCCTCACTGAGGAAACGTGGGGGCCACCATCTGGAAGGTGCCCTGGCTAGCACTCAGGATGGGCCTCTGCCCTGCTGATCCCAGGGACGGACAGCCCATCGCTCGCTGGGCTTTGGCCATCAGGAAGCAGAATTCTGCGCATCCCAGCAAGAGCATTTCCTCCAGTGTTTGATTAGGATGGCCTCTTCCTGGCTCCCTGACCCGACAGCTCAATGTAGCCAGCTTTCCTGTGTGTCTCTCAGCCTCCTGGGAGTGGAAACCCAAGGGCGGATAAGTCCCCGAAACGGCCTCGGCAATGTTGAGTGGGGGCCTCTGGAGGCTGACCCGCCCCCACGGCCATGTGTGTGTGTGGGGGGGTCCTCCTTGGCTCCACCATCTGCGAGGCATGGTGCAGACACCAGGAGTTATGGAATGACAGAAGGGGCGGCAGAGACCAGCTCATTCACAGCCTCGGGGACAGGTGGGGCGCAGCCACCAGGATGGAGAAGGAGGAGCCCAGTGCTGCTTTGAAAAGGAGAAAGGTATTGAATCAACCCAGGAGCGCTGCCTTGAGAAACTAGAGAAAAACGAGGGACAGGGACCCACAGCAAGCAAAGGGAAGGACGGGGCAGAATCTGTGCACTTGAAAACAAAAGGGAAATAGAGGAAATTGATTAAACCCAAGCCGGTTCTTTGAGATCAATCCAATTGATAAACGTTGGTTAAGACTGACCGAGAAGAAAAGGGCAGGGAACAAACAAATCACCAACACAGAGAACAAAAAGCGCTTTGCTGAACAATTGTCAGAAATTAAAAGGCTGATAAGGGAATTCCAGAAGTGGCACCCCGTGTATGTGTTCGAAACCTCAGATAATGAGGACCACTTCCTTCACAGGCGCAGGTGCCAGATCTCATTAAAGAAGAAAAGATAGCTGGCAGGTCCAATATCTAACCAAGGACACCTTCCAACACAGAAAAACTACCATTTCCTGGGAAATTCTATCACTCCCTTAAAGAAGAAAAAATGTCAACTCTATACCACCTCTTTCAGAAGACAGAAGAGGAGAAAACGCGCCCACTCTTTTCTGAAGGCAATGTTACCAAACCAGAAAGGCATTACAGTAAGAGAAAACTACAGACCAATCACCTCCATAAATGTGGACACAAAATTCCTCAGTGTAATATTTGCAAATAAAATCCAGCAACATATAGAAAGGGCAATACATTGTAGAGGTGGGGGTCTGGCGATGCTGCCCAGGCTGATCTCGAACTCCTGGCCTCAAATGATCCTCCTGCCTTGGCCTCCCGAAGCGCTGGAATTACAGGCACGAGCCATCATATTCGGCCTAGAAGGGAACTTTTCAAACCAGATAATACTAGTCTGGAGAAACTAGAGCCAACACAATTCCTAGCGGGGAAAGCCCTCCCTCTGAGACCCGGTGGGCGTCAGTGCACATGCCGGCCTCCCTGCTGTCCCCTGGGAGGCTGGGGAAGCAACAGCCCACCATCGTGAGTCCACCAAACACCTTCGTCCACCAGGAGGAGCAGGGCTTCCAGGAGAGGCGTCTGATTCCAGGGACGAAACTGGGCAACTATGAGATGAACTTGAACCCCAAAGCAAGAAAGGTCAGGGAGGGACAGCGTACTGAAAGGGCACTAGGGTCAAAATGAAGGAGCTTGATGGCCGACATTGGAACCACTGCCACCACAAAATACACAGTGACCACATCGCATTATAGATCAAGTCCTAAATCTTCTTCAGTCCACACTGAGATAAATACACAAGGAAGCAAACAGACACAGAAGAGCAGGACAGCTCCTCCTCCCGGGACAACGTCAGTCAGTAGGGGGCAGGGAGGAGAATCCTGAACAGACCCCACAGGGACTGCGAAGGCCAGGCCCCCGAGGGCACCCACACCACTGGGCAAACACAGAACAGCTGCCAGGTCTCAGACAGGACCAATCACAGAGGGGCACGGCGGCCCCGCTGGGGATGGGATGTGGCCGTCACCTCCGTGCCCGTGCGCTGCCCCTGTGGGATTCCTGCCCCAACACGATGCCTGCTCTGCCGACGAGGGAGCCCCAGGCAAGCGTTCTACAAAGCACCCAGCCAGTCGAGGTCGCTGAGGCCAAGGAGAGACCGGGCGACTGTCACAAACCCGAGCATCCTGAGGAGACCTCTCAGCCAGCGCCGTGCAGGGTCCTGAATGGAGCCCACGGGAAGCTGGGGTGCCGGCCTGAAGCCCGTCCTGGGTGAGAAGAAACAGCCTAGTGCCGAGTTCTCAGAGCTGAGAACCGACCTGCGGTGGCATCAGGAAGCTGCCAAAGGGTGATGTGGACTCTGCTTTTCAGCCCCGATTCCCTAAAACCATCCCACAAGCTCAAGCTGCACCTCACAGGCAAAGGCTGCTGAATGCCCGGCGTGGGGCACCTGCCGTCCTGCGCCCCCCTCCGCCCCACGCTCCACCCGCCCCAGGCCCCGGTCAGCAAGGAAGATGCCTGCTGCGCCCGCCTCCTCATCCCAGGTGCTGCACCGTGTCGGCCTTCCCGTCCCGGGCCGGGCCACCGTGTCTGCTGGCTGCGGGTTGAATTGTGCTCCTCAAAAAATGCCAAAGTACATGTGACTGCAACCCGGTAAGGAAACAGGGCCTTTGTAGGTGCTCAAGTTAAGAGGAGGCGGTTAGGATGGACCCTACTGTCATGTGTTTGGTGTCCTTATAAAAAGGGGAGATTTGGACACACACGCACACATACACACACACACGCCTACACACACATATAGATACACGCACCCCTACACACACCTACACACACACCCCCCCTACACACACATATATATACACGCACACCCCTACACACACGCACACATACACACACATACACACACACACCCTACACACACATATATATACACGCACCCCTACACACACCTACACACACACACACCCCTACACACACATATATATACACGCACCCCTACACACACCTACACACACATACACACACCCCTACACACACATATATATACGCACACCCCTACACACACACGCACACATACACACACACACACCCTACACACACATATATATACACGCACCCCTACACACACCTACACACACACACCCCTACACACACACATACACACATACACACACCCACCCCTACACATGCACACACACACCCCTACACACACACATACACACACATACACACACACAAAAACACCCCTACACACACAAAAAAAAACACCCCTACACACACACATACACACACACACACACACACACACACACAGAAGCTGTGTGAAGATAAAGGCAGAGCTCAGCTGAGGCCCTGAAAGCCAAGCACCCCAAAGATAGCAGCAGCCCGCGGCAGTGAGGGGAACAGTGCATGACAGCGGCCCTCGCAGCCCCAGAAGGAACCCACCTTGCCCACACCCCGATCTCTGAGACATGGAGTTTCTCTCATGTAACCAGCCAGTGTGTGGTACTGTGTGTCATGGAAGCCCAAAGGAAGAAACACATTACTGCATAAAAATCACAACTCACGGAGAGAGAGATCCAAGATGGCTGATCACTAGCAGCTCGGGATTGTAGCTCCCACTGAAAGCGCAAAGAACGAGAGGACGTCACACCTTCACATGAATTCTTGTTGCTCACGCACCAGGAGATTCCCAGCGGAGGAGCCCCACGGGTCGCCAGCGCGACTCTTGTGACCGGCGAGGCGGTTTTGCCGGCGCCTCGGAGCGTCGGTTCTTGGTGCAGACTCAGAAAAGCACCATCAATCTTAACGCCGCTGACTTAGTCGGCGCAGTGGGTTGCTCAGATTTCGGCGCTGAGAATCAATAAGTCGGACGTCCACTCAGAAAACCAATTACAAAGACGGTAATTATAAAGACCATAGATGGATAAATTTATAACGAAGGGAAGAAAACAGCCAAAAAAGGCTGAGAATGCCCAAGATCAGAACGCCTCTCCCTCAACGGGGGATCACGGTTCCTCATCAGCAACGGAACAAGGCTTGATGGAGAACGAGTGTGTTCCAATTACAGAAGCAGGCTTCAAAATGTGGATAATGAGAAACTTCTGTGAATTAAAAGAACTTGTTCTGACACAATCCAGAGAAACTAAGAACTTTGAAAAAAGGTTTGACGAAATGTTAACAAGAATACACAATTTAGAGAGGAATATAAGTGAACTGATGGAGCTGAAAAACACAATACGAGAACTACGTGAAGTATGCACAAGTTTTAACAGCCGAATTGATCAAGCAGAAGAAAGGATATCAGAGGTCGAAGACCAACTCAATGAAATAAAACGAGAAGACAAGATTAGAGAAAAAAGGATAAAAAGGAACGAGCAAAGTCTCCAAGAAATATGGGACTATGTGAAAAGACCTAATCTACGCTTGATAGGTGTACCTGAATGTGACGAAGAGAATGAATCCAAGCTGGAAAATATGCTTCAGGATATTATTCAGGAAAATTTTCCCAACTTAGTAAGGCAGGCTAATATTCAACTCCAGGTAATACAGTGAACACCACAGAGATATTCCTCAAGAAGAGCAACTCCAAGGCACATAATCGTCAGATTTACCAGGGTTGAAATGAAGGAGAAAATACTAAGGGCAGCCAGAGAGAAAGGTCAGGTTACCCACAAAGGGAAGCCTATCAGACTTACTGCAGATCTCTCAGCAGAAACCCTACAAGCCAGAAGAGAGTGGGGGCCAATATTCAACATCCTTAAAGAAAAGAACTTTCAACCCAGAATTTCACATCCAGCCAAGCTAAGCTTCATAAGTGAAAGAAAAGTAAAGTTTTTTGTGAATAAGCAAGCACTCAGAGATTTCATCACCACCAGGCCTGCTTTACAAGAGCTTCTGAAAGAACCACTACACATAGAAAGGAATAAACAGTATCAGCCTTTCTAAAAAATACCAAAAAGAGCATCAGTATAATGAAGAATTTACATCAACTAATGGACAAAATAGCCAGCTAAGATTAAATGGCAGTATTAAACTCACATATATCATTGTTAATTCTAAATTTAAATTGACTAAATCCCCCAATCCAAAGACAGACAGACAATTTAGATAAAAAACTAAAACCCATCAGTATGCTGCATCCAGACCCATCTCACATTCAAGGATACACAAAGACTCAAAACAAGGGATGGAGAAAGATTTACCAACCAAACAGAGAGCTAAAATAAATAAATAAAAAGCAGAAGTTACAATTTTTGCCTCTGATAAAATAGTCGTTAAAGCAACAAAGATCAAAAGAAGCAAAGAAGGACATTATATAATGATAAAAGGATCAATGCAACAAGAAGAGCTAAAGATCCTAAATATATACGCACCCAATGCAGGAATACCCAGACATACAAGACTTATAAAGAGACTTAGACTCCCACACAATAATAGTGGGAGACTTCAACATTAATATTAGACAGATCAATGAGACAGAAAATTAACAACGATATCCAGGACTTGAACTCAGATCTGGAACAAGTAAACGTAATTAACATTTATAGAACTCTCCACTTTAAATATACAAAATATACACTCTTATCAGTACCACATCATATCAACTTAGAAGTTTAAACGAAATGTTGGTTGGCTCCTTGTTTGTTATTCTCTTCCCTCATTTTATTTTATGTCTCCATTATCAAGGACAATTATAGGCATACCCATATTTAGACTGCATTCTAGCCCGGGCAACAAAGCAATACCCCCATCCTCTCTCCCTCTTCCTCTTTCTCTTTCTTCCTCTTCTTTATTCTTTTTATTATTCTTTTTTTCTTTCTCAAAAAAAAAAAAAATCACAACTCACATTATCTTTATTTAGAACCCAGACCAACCTCTCCCTAACCTTGGAATCATAGAGGCACGTGATCTTGCTCAGCAGCCTAGAAACCCAGGGCCCCGCAGAGCCACCACAGGCACCCACTCCCCAGAGCCCGGCACACCCAGGGCCCCTGAGAGCCAACCCAGACACCTGCTCCCCAGAGCCCGGCACAGCCAGGGCCCCACACAGCCACCACAGGCACCCACTCCCCAGAGCCCGGCACAGCCACCGACTGTGCCACCCTCCACGTGGGCCTGGGGAGCAGGCGACACAGCCTGAACTGCACCCCAGCTCTCCCTCCTGAGTCTGAAACACACACATGTGCCCCAGGCCAGTTCCAAGAGTTCTGTAAACTGAGCAACAATTCTTGGAAAACGAAAACACGGCGACTGTTTATCCTCCCGGAGCTGGCTGCGCACCCCAACGAGGAAGAGAGGGCGTGCTGAGCCTCCTGTCCACACAACACACGCCAGGGAGGAGCATAAAAGCCCACGCACCCGAGCGCCTCACTCACTCCCAGCACAGCCACATCCACCATGTCCGCCTGCTCCAGCGACCTGAGCTACGGCAGCCGCGTCTGCCTGCCCGGCTCCTGTGACTCTTGCTCCGACTCCTGGCAGGTGGACGACTGCCCAGAGAGCTGCTGCCAGCCCCCCTGCTGCGCCCCCAGCTGCGCCCCCAGCTGCTGCGCCCCGGCCCCCTGCCTGACCCTGGTCTGCACCCCAGTGAGCTGTGTGTCCAGCCCCTGCTGCCAGGCGGCCTGTGAGCCCAGCCCCTGCCAATCAGGCTGCACCAGCTCCTGCACACCCTCATGCTGCCAGCAGTCTAGCTGCCAGCCGGCTTGCTGCACCTCCTCCCCCTGCCAGCAGGCCTGCTGTGTGCCCGTCTGCTGCAAGCCCGTGTGCTGTGTGCCCGTCTGCTCTGGGGCTTCCTCTTCATGCTGCCAGCAGTCTGGCTGCCAGCCGGCTTGCTGCATCTCCTCCCCCTGCCAGCAGGCCTGCTGTGTGCCCGTCTGCTGCAAGTCTGTCTGCTGTGTGCCCACCTGCTCTAGAGCTTCTTCCTCATGCTGCCAGCAGTCTAGCTGCCAGCCAGCTTGCTGCACCACCTCTCTCAGCCAGCAGTCCTGCTGTGTGCCCATCTGCTCTGGGGCTTCCTCTCTGTGCTGCCAGCAGTCTAGCTGCCAGCCGGCTTGCTGCACCTCCTCCTGCTGCAGACCCTCCTCCTCCGTGTCCCTGCTCTGCTGCCCCGTGTGCAGGCCTGCCTGCTGTGTGCCCGTCCCCTCCTGCTGTGCCCCCACCTCCTCCTGCCAGCCCAGCTGCTGCCGCTCGGCCTCCTGCGTGTCCCTTCTCTGCCGCCCCGCGTGCTCCCGCTTGGCCTGCTGAGGCCTCCACTCAGGCCAGAAGCCCAGGAGCTGACAGGCGTGTCCCTCAGGGCCAGCCAGGCTCAGGTCCCCCGTAAAAGCTGACAGTCACGTCCTGCATTGCTCCTGTACTTTGGCCATTTCCCGGTGTCTGCTACTGAGCTGGACGATGGAAGAACTGAATGTCTGTGCTCAATGCTGCAGCACTCTTGATGGGGGTGGTTCTAGAAAGTTCCCATGACAGTGGCCTCCCCTCCTTATCTCCCACCTCTCGTGAGGGTCGGCTCAGCCTTGATCCATGAGGTCTCTGTCCCCCTGACTCAGAGCCCCAGAGCCTTCTTCGGGCTCCCTCAAACTGACCAATAAAAGCCCTGAGACTGCAATGGTGCCGACTGCCTGCTGTGTTGATGGGACGCCCTGGCTGGACCTCACGGCCGTGGTTTTCTCCTTTGTACACAGCCCTTTGCTGTCCTTCAGGCTCCTGAGTGTTTTCCTGTGCCCACCGTGTGTGGCTCCTAGGGGTCCAGGCTGGATGGACTCGGGCCGGGGAGCCTTGCAGCCCCTTGGACACTTCAGGCCCTGGGGTTTGTCCCTAACCCTCCTGTGTCATTGGTTGCGTAATCGTTCTTTTTGCTGATTTGCTTTTTAAATTATCCTTCTGCACAATACCTGTCAAGTCAAGAATGGTGTCTTCTGGCGCCATGCTTGCCCAGAGCATGTCCAAATGCCCCCTTAGCTTCACAATCAGTCTCCATCTATATCACCCTCAATGACCTTTCGTACTGTGCAGACAGCACTGGTGTGGTGGGAGGAAGGCAGGCTGGAGCTCAGAATGAGGGGGTGGGAGGAACGCAGGCTGGGGATTGGAATGGGGGGAGGAACGCAGGCTGGGGATTGAATCAGCAGGTAAAGGAACGCACAGATGTCCCAGGGTGGGTGAAGGTGGCAATTGGAATGGTGGGGGAAGACACAGGCTGGTGATTGGAATCAGATCTACCCTGTGTGAGCAGAATCGTACCCCCAACCCCTCTGGCCTCTCGAAGGGCCAAGAAGTAGGACTCGCTCTTTCAGTTTTCCAAATGGAGTGACAAGAGTGACACACAGAGCACGTTGTAACCACACGGGGCCAGTGGCCCGGCCAGAGCTGGGCAGTCTGAGGCCTTTTGGGCATTTTAAGAAATCTTTAAAAATTATATTTGGAATAATGATGTGATGTAACCCCTGGAGGAAGTGCTAACTAGTCCAATGATTATAAAACATATTCATAAAGCAATGGTGATAAGATCAGAAAGAATTTCCATGCACAGCTGACAGAGAGTGGCCTAGGAACTCAGCTGCAGCAGAGGTGGAGTTGTGGAGGACAGACCAGAGCACCGGCCACACGGAGTCACAGTCCCGGGGTGAAAGGGAGTGCGCGCCACATGGCTGAACACACACACGGATGTCCCAGGCTGGGTGAGGGCGTGCAGCTCACAAGTGAATAAACACACAGATGTCCCCACGGTGGGTGAGGATGTGCCCCTCGTGGGTGAACACACACACAGATGTCCCAGGGTGGGTGAGGGTGTGCCCCTCATGGGTGAACGTGCCCATGGTTTTCAGCAACACAACTCAGTGTGTTGATTGCAACCCACGGAACCAGAGAGTTAAAAATAACTCCAGAGAAGGGAGATTCTGTGGAAGAGCCTTCATTAAACTACAGTGCTGTTCCCCATCACATGAGCTGAGGTCACTCCTGGTTGAGGTCCTTTGTGTCTTTACCAAAACTTACTCTTCAGAAAGTAGTTTTCTATGAGGTGTATAGAAAAGTTGAGAAACCATTATAAACCAAGCTGAGTCAATGGATATTTATACAATATACCATCCAACAACAAAATGATGCATGTTGTTTAAAGTACACACAGAACATGCACCAACATAAACCACTGAAGAGGCCTGAGAGCAAGTCTCAGCATCCTCAAGAGAGCTGCAATGACAGGAGGGCTGAGTGTGCTGCTTGACCACACAGAATTGGAAATCATTAACAGAAAGACATTTAGAAAACTGTCATATACTTGAAATTAAATAACGCACTTTAAGATCTATTAGTAAAAATATAAATCACAGTGGAAATTATGAAATTTCTTGAATAAAATGAAAATGAAATCATCACATATCAATATTTGTGGGATGCAGCTAACAGAGCATGTAGAGGAAAATGTATAGTAATTTGCTTTACTAGAGAAGAAGGCCTAAAATCAGTTATCTAAGCTTCCAGCTTAAGAAGCTAAAGAAGCATATGTTGAACCCAAAAATAACTTGAAGGAATAAAATAATCAAGAACTTAAAAACTCGACTGTGTTCATCCATTTGCGCTGCTGTAAAGGAATACCTGAGACTGGGCACTTTCTAAGGAAAGGCCCACGGTTATCCGGCTCCTGGTTCTGCAGGCTGTACAAGCATGGCACCTGCTCAGCTTCTCCTGAGGCCTTACGAAGCTTTACTCATGGTGGACGGTGGACGGGGAGCAGTCATCACATGGTGTGAGGGGAGCAAGAGAGACAGAGAGGAGGGAGTGCCAGTCTCTTGTAAACAACCAGCTCTCCATGAAGAAACAGAGTGAGACTTCACTCATTACTGTGGGGAGAGCGCCACACCGTTCATGAGGGAACCGCCGTTCCCGTGACCCAATCACCCCCTCCAGGCCCCACCTCCAACACGAAATCACCTTTGAACATGAGATTTAGAGGGGACACACGTCCACCATATCACCTACCAAATGCAAAGTGGACAAACAGGGAAATAAACCAAACCTAGTGTTTTTAATAAATCAATGAAATTGGCAAATTTCTAGCTTTACTATTTAAAACAAGAGAACAAATAAATTACCAATACCAGTTATTATGGTTTGGCTGTGTCTTGAATTCTCATCTTGAATTCCCACGTGTTGTGGGAGGGACCTGGTGGGAGGTAACCGAATCATGGGGGCGGGTCTTTGCCATGCTGTTTTCTTGATAGTAAGTCTCATGAGATCTGATGGTTTTGCGAAGGGGAGCTTCCCTGCACAAGCTCTCTTCTCTTGCCTGCTGCCATGTAAGATGTGCCTTTCACCTTCCGCCATGATTGTGAGGCCTCCCTGGCCATGTGGAACTGTGAGTCCATTAAACCTCTTTCTTTTGTAAATTGCCCAGTCTTTGGTATGTTTTAATTAGCAGCATGAGAACGCACTAATGCATCAGAAATGAATAAAAGGTTACCACTACAGAATCTATAGATATTAAAAAGAGACCAAATAAATAAACAACTCTATGTCAATACGTTCAACAACTTAGACGAAATAGGCAAATGATTAGAAATATATAATTTATAAAAAGGGATACAAGAAGAAACAGAAAATCTGAATAGCCCTCTATCAATTGAAGAGATTGGATTCATAATTAAAACTTTCCCACAGAGAAGATGCCAATCCAAAATGGCTTTGCTATTGAATTCTACCAAGCATTTAGGGAAGAAATAATACCAATTTAACCCAAACTTTTCCAGAAAACTGTGGTGAAGGTGGGGAAGACGAGCATCAGCGAGGCTGCTAGGGATTAGGAGATGGAAGCTGAGGCCTCGTGGGTGGCAGGAGCTTCCTTTGTGGGCTCTGGCCATGGACATGGGCCTTTGGGATGAGAGAGGAGCTTGTGAGGGAACAGCCATGCCTGAGACGGGCTTGCAGGGAGGGGAATTGAACATTGATCTTTTAGCCACTGGGGACAGTGTCCACTTACTGAAACACTTACGGCCACACCACAGCCCCTGGAAGGCCTCCTCCTAGGAAATCCCCCAGCAATTAGCAGGGCCTGGTCCACCTGTGGCCTCCAGGGTCACCCATGTCACCCTCTGCACAGCCCTGCAGGTGCAGACTCTGGGTCCCGAAAGCCCATGAGGAACCTGGTGTCCCAGAGGAGGACCTGGGGCAGTGCCAGGTTTTAGGAATCCTGCATGTCCCTCCACCCCTCCATGATGCTTTTGTCCCACGCAGGTGCAGCCGCCCCTCACTCTCCCCTCTCGTTTCTGCTAAATGGGCAGAACCTTAGGGGGCGGCACACAGGGAGGGTGACCAGGCCCAGAGGCTGCGGCGCAGGCATCCCAGGCCGGATTCCCGGCAGCTGACTCTACAGGGTGGGCTCGCCCAGGTGGGACAGTGGGTGCAGCGGTCCTGGGGCCTGGAGAGCCCCACGGCCCAGCGCAGGGCAGCGAATGACCAGGCTCAGGAAGACCCAGGCATGGGGGCTGAGCCGGGACTGAGCCTTCCTGGTGTGGCTGTGAGTCCCACCTGGTGACCCCCTGGAGGATTTAGGCCACTGTTCTTGTGACTTCTAGGTTAAGTCACTCATTCCTAGAAAGAGTCATGGCTGGAGGAGACGGATGTCAGCTCAAACCATGTGTCCCCCCACCAGGAGCACACAGGAGAAGAGAATCAGGTGACCAAGGAGAGTTTATTGGGAGCAGGAAGAGGTGCTGACAGGCTCAGGTCGAGGCCAAATGACCCAGGACAGAGAAGCTGGGAGGGAGGACGGGGGCCCAGCAGGCAGGTGGGTAAGTGCTGGGAGGCAGCAGCTGGGGAGCAGTGAGGATGGGGCTCCTGGGAGCAAGGAGGGTGGTCACCTCAGCACAGGGGAGACATGGGCACCTGTCCCCAGGTGGGGGCAGCCACCTAAGCCAGATCAAGACCTGAGCCTGGTTGGGCCTGGGGGAAGTGCCCAGCAGCAGCTGGACTCCTGGCCTGAGCAGAGGCCTCAGCAGGCCGGGAGGGAGCACGCGGGACGGCAGAGGAGGGACACGCAGGAGGCCGGGCGGCAGCAGCTGGGCTGGCAGGAGGAGGCGGGGGCACAGCAGGAGGGGACGCACACGCAGCAGGCAGGCCTGCACACGGGGCGGCAGAGCAGGGACACGGAGGAGGAGGGTCTGCAGCAGGAGGTGGTGCAGCAAGCTGGTTGGCAGCTAGACTGCTGGCAGCATGAAGAGGAAGCCCCAGAGCAGACAGGCACACAGCAGACGGGCTTGCAGCAGACAGGCACACAGCAGGCCTGCTGGCAGGGGGAGGAGGTGCAGCAAGCTGGCTGGCAGCTAGACTGCTGACAGCATAAAGAAGACTCACAGCAAGTGGGCCCACAGCACACGGGCTTGCAGCACACAGGCTTGCAGCAGACGGGCACACAGGACACGGGCTTGCAGCAGACAGGCACACAGCAGGCCTGCTGGCAGGGGGAGGAGGTGCAGCAAGCCAGCTGGCAGCTAGACTGCTGGCAGCACGAGGGTGTGCAGGAGCTGGTGCAGCCTGATTGGCAGGGGCTGGGCTCACAGGCCACCTGGCAGCAGGGGCTGGACACACAGCTCACTGGGGTGCAGACCAGGGTCAGGCAGGGGGCCGGGGTGCAGCAGCTGGGGGCGCAGCACGGGGGCTGGCAGCAGCTCTCTGGGCAGCTGTCCACCTGCCAGGAGTCGGAGCAAGCGCTGGAGCAGACGGACATGGTGGACGCGGCCATGCTGGGGTGTGGAGGAGGTGAGCTGGGGGAGGTGTGAGTGAGTGAGTGAGTGAGTGAGTGAGTGAATGAGGAGCTCTGGGCTGTGGGGCTTTTATACCCCTCTCTGGCACATGTTGTCCAGACAGGAGGCTCCACAAGCTTCTCTTCCTTGTTGGTGTTTAGAGCTGGTGGCTGGAGATACATCATTCGTGCTGGTTTATTTGTTTGTTTTTCCCTCATTAAATGTGTGTGTATGTTGCAGGGCTCTGTTTCTTCATCAGTTTTTATTTTAGCCCCATAAATGTGGTGGAAAATATTTCAAGCAAGTTTTTGTTGAGTAGAGGTTTTAGGGATGAAGACTTCTCCAAAGGGAGGAATTTTAGATTCACCTATCCTGTGTTTTGACTGATTGGATATATTTTATTACTTTTAGCATCTTGAAATATAAGTATGCAGAAAAATATGCATTTCTTTTAAAATGCAGCTGGCACAGAGGGTAGGAAGAAACTAAGTGGCTGTCCCTTCAACCTCTCATGCCTTGTAGGGAGACTGCTGAGAGATTCAGTATCTGATGGATCTGAGCTTTATCTTCATCTCTTCAGCTTTTCCATGCTACCTTCAGAGGCCTCTCTGTTTTATTTGAAGCAGCACTCTGGATTTTCTCCATTTTTATTTCATCATGGTGACACATCAAGTACTTTTTCATATATGATGATTTTAGGACATACATTTTAAGATTTCTTGCTTGTCTGAAAATGTACTCAACTTTACCCTCACACTTTTGTGACAGTTTAGCTGGGTATATAATTCTAGTTTTATATCAGAATTATTATAAATAATAATAAAAATGTATGTTTTCTCAAAATGAATAAGTCACCATTTTCTGTGGTGTCCAGTGTAGCTGATGAGAGACAGAGGCTAGTCATTTGTCGTTTTTTATAGTTTGTCTCTCTTTCTCTCTCCTTTTCTTAACTCTGGGAACACGTGGGTAGGAGACCCCATGGGAGACCCTGCAAGTGCCAAGGCAAGGGTCTGAAGCTTCAGCCTGTTCCCATATGAATACAGAACTAGAAAAGAATTAGATATAGAGTTACATAGTTATTCCTATATATAAGCATAAATAATCACAGTTATTCATATGTAATCACAAAAGTATATTACTCAATATAACCTTTTAATTTTACTAATGGTTATCTGGTTATGAAGCATGGAACTGAGGTGACATTGTGAACAAAGCGATCCAAAGGCAAGATGCTCTAAGCCCTCTGTCACGCCAACATAAGGGCTGCTGGAGGGTGCCTCAGCTGTGTGGCAGTGCCAGCACTGGGAAAGTGCCTGCTGTTTAGCCAGCTAGGGAAAGCGACATCCAAAACATCCGATATATCTCCTTCCTTGAGGAAGTTAGGAGAAAACTTCACTTCTCCAAGCTCTTGCAGTAGGCCTGATGGCTGTCAGGGAATCCCACAGACATCCGGGGACTCAACTGTCTCCATGTGATGCTGTGCTTCAGTAGTCACGTTCCATGTCCACTCTCATGTTCCACTTCTGCACTTGGTCCCTCTTTTTCTTAAAAGATAAAATCAGTAATAGTAACACAAATCTTCATGTCTTTGTTCTTTCTTGACAAGTAAGAGAAAAGTGCTGACACATTAGGTTTTCTTCTCGCCTCTGCTACTTGAAAGTCCTGGGCCCCTGTCTCCAAGACACGTGATTGACCTGACCCTATCGCTGACCACCACTACCTCCCCCGACCTTCCCTGCCCCCAACTTTGTACTCAGTAAAAATCGGAGTGTCCAGGCACTCAGGGCCACTGCAGGTCTCCACACTTTGGTTGGCAGTGGACCTCTGGCCCCAAACTCTGTTTTCTCTTTCTTGGAGTCTTGTGTCTTTTATTTCCACATTTTCTTGTCTTCACACCTGTATAGAGGGGTTCACAGGACCGTGTAGGGCTGGACCCTACAGGAACATTTGGTTTTCTTTTTATTCTTGTTTTGTTTCTATGCTTATGCATTATTTTACTTTCTGTGGTTAGAATTCATTGAGCCTTTCAACGTGAAGACTCAGGAAGTGTTTTGCACTCTTAAAAATAATTTTTATCTCGAGGTCTTTCCTTTTGTGACTTTGATTTTGTCTCAGGATGAATGAAGTACATTTTTGTCTCACTGTAATGATGTTCTGCTGAGCGTTTAAACATTTTCCCTCGTTTCACTGGACATCAGTTAAGCTCTGCTCATTGGTGGCTGCTCATTTGATTTTCTGAATAAAAGACTATTTTCTTGCAGGGCACCGGGGTCCTGATTCAGTTTACCCCTAATTTGTTTCCATCTGTTTCTCTTTTCCACAAATATATAAAGGATTTTGAAGAGTCTCACTGTTTGTTAGACAATTTTGATTTCAGTTTTTACGACTCTTTAAATATTCTTTCAGTGATTATTAGTAGAGGTTGTGCAAGAACCGTGTGCTTAGCCCACCCTCTGGGACTGACGGACTTGATGCTGCTTTCAGGAAATGACAGGAAAGCCAGAAGGCGAGGAAGACGTCGCGTTAGTGGGTGTGCTACGGACATGCACAGAGCAGGTGTGGCCTCCACATCAGCCACAGTGTGAGGGGCGGCCCTGCAGCCCATTTTGGCAGATGCGGAAATGCTGAGAAGATGAGTAACCTTGAAAGAGGACAGCTGGCCAGCGGCGAACGCAACAGCCAGGGGCCCTCACTCCTTTCCCTCACGGCCAGAGATGGCTCCACGCCATCACACAGCTCCCAGAAGAGTGCGTGCTTCGTGGGTGGGAGACAGGAAGGGAGGTGGTCCTGAATCAGTGGGACGTGGGAAGGGTGACGTGGCTGCTGGGACAAGCCCTGGCCTGTATGGTAAGTCGCTTGACTTTTCCGAAGCTGTCTCTTGCAGCCTCCTTAATCGAATGGGTGTGGTGACTTCTTCATCTCTTTATACCTTATACCCTCTGTGCCAGCTGCATGTTATAAGAAATGCATGTTTTTCTATGTACTTCTATTTCAAGATGCTAAAAGTGACCTGGATGAGATCAGAGACTATTATTCTAAGAGAAGTAACTCAGGAATGGAAAACCAAACATTGTAAGTGCCTGCTCACAAGTGGGAGCTAAGCTGAGGATGCAAAGGCGTAAGAGTGAGACAGTGGGCTTTGGGGACTCGGGGGAAAGGGTGTGAAGTGAGTGAGGGATAAGAGTACAAATCGGGTGTGGTGTACACTGCTCAGACGATGGGTGCACAGAATCTCACAAATCAACACTAAATAACTTAGCCATGTAACTCCACACCACTTGCTCCCCAATAACCTATAGAAATAAAAATAAAACGAAGGGAATCCCACCACACACAGCCCCTCACCGAGCACCATGCTTTCAAGGGTCATGTACGTTGTAGTCCGTGTCAGTATTTCAGTCCTTTTCATGGCTTAATAATATTCCCCGTGGGAATGGGCCACATTGTGCTTGTGTGGATGGGCTGTGCGTGGCTTGTTCATTCATCCGCGGGTGGACATTTAGGCTCTTTCCACTTCTTAGCTACTGTCAGTGCTGCTGTGTACATGGCCCACAAATCTCCTAGAACTGGACTGGCAGGGTCAGAGGGTCACAGGGTCACAGAGTGAGTGACATTTTGAGAAACTATTTTCCAAGGTGTTTTCACTGGAGGCTGAGGCTCTGATGAGGCAGAAGACACATCGAATGGGAACCCAGAGCAGGGGTCAGAGCTGAGACCCGCCCCCCAGGAGATGTCCTCCCTGGGAATGGCCAGACAGGCTGGGCCGGGTCCTGTCAGTGCCTCGGACAAGGGCAGGTGGGAGTCAGTGACAACGTGGAGGAGGTCAGAGAGCGAGCCCCGGATCCTCCATGCGGCTCTGTGTTCTGAGTCTGTGGCCAGCAGTGGGCACAGTGAGGTGGGGCTCAGACATGCATGTGTGGGGAGCCCCTCCCCAGGATGGCGCCGGAGCCCTAGGATGAAGCCTCAGCCCCCACCAGCTGCCCCACAAACCCGGGCAGGAAGCACACATCTCTGTCCCTGGAGGCCCTCATTTGTCCCTTCATGGGGACCCGCCTTTGCTTCCAAGGGGGTGGACAAGGCTGTGTCAGTTTGGCCCTGGCCCTGGGGATGGCCGCTGCTGGCTGTCCTGTGTGGTCTGCCTCGAGGAGAGCGAGGGAGGTGGCTGTGCTGACCACAGTGAGCCCCATGGGGTGGGACTCCGGGAGATCCTGGTGCTGGGGCTGGCGGCCTCTGGCATTGACATGCAGGGGTCATTTGCTGGGGCAGGAGTCGGAGCTGGGCTCTCAAATGCCACAGTGACCTGGTGGAAAGAGTGTGGTGGCTCGTACCACTCGCCCGACGTGGCATCCGGGACGGAGGGCGGCAGGCAGAGCCGAGGGCTGTCTGGGAGAGACCCGGGAGGCTGCAGGTGTGCGGACAGGGTCCTCGGGGTAAGTGTCCAGGACCACTGGATCAGGAGGGAGCCGGGACCCTGAATCTCTACGTGAGGCCACATGGGGCAGGAGGGCAGGCAGGCTTGGTTCGTGGTGCCATGGCCCCTGCCCATTTGTGCTCTCGCCAGCGATGCCTGAGCAATGGGTATTCAAGAATCCTGTGACAACACGCACTGGCCCCCCCATGAGCAAGATTCAAACACCGGCAGCTCCTCCACCCGCAGATGCCAGCTGACCCCGTTCCACCGCCGTGACCACAGCTCTGCCTGGGCGGGACACTGACTTCAGGAGCCTCCTCCTGATAAGGGACCCCCCCACCGTGGACTGGCTCTGGCCGGTTTGCAGAGGCTGCACACTTGAGGGCCTTCGTGTCCTGAGAAGACCTCTGTCGTTTAGGGCCTCACTGCGACACAGTCACATGTGAAGGCTCCACCCTGTAAGAAGTACATTTTCTTTTTTGAGATGGAGGCTGGCTTTGTCTCCCAGGCTGGAGTGCAGTAGTGCAATCTTGGCTCACTGCAACCTCCGCCTCCCAGGGTCAAGCAATTCCCCTGCCTCAGCCTCCCGAGTAGCTGGGATTACAGGTGCCCACTGCCACGCCCAGCTAATTTTTGTATTTTTGGTAGAGGAGGGGTTTTACAGGTTGGCCAGCATGGTCTCCATCTCCCAACCCCGTGATTGCCCACCTCAGCCTCCCAAAGTGCTGTGATTAGAGGTGTGAGCCACTGTGCCCGGCCAAGAAGTACTTTTTAAGTGGTCTGTATTCAGAAAACAGGCCTGGCACGTCCCGGCAGCTCCCCTGCAGACATGACAAGCCACGTAGTACAGATTTGGGGCACTTTGAACAACCAGATGGCAGCATCGTGGAGGAAGGCGCGGCGCGGAGGAGCACATGCAAGGGCACGCGTTTTCCACGTGAGGCTGAGGCAGGAAAGCCACACACCGCCTCGCTCTGTTACGTGTATGTGTGTGTAAACACATATGTACATACACATACATTTGGGAAGAGTGATAAGACTCACAGAAGTCAGAGGGGACAGAGAAAGGGGGGTGGCGAACTCATTAAAAGGAAAGAAACTGTCACCATTGGAAAATCCAAACTTGAAGTGGGGAAGGGGACAAGACGTAGCCTTACAGGAGGACAAGGAGACTGAGGTGGTGTCCAGGAAGTCTGCGACCCCACCGTACTCAGCCGTGAGAACCGGGGAGGGCCCTGCGCACTGGGGGTACGTGGCTGATTGAAACCGTGCTGGGTGTGCCCGCCCATCAGACACGTCATCTTGCAAGACCGCCATGAAAGTCCCACTCTCACTGTTCCTCATGCCTCTAAGTCCATTCTTGGGATTTGGACGGGTGAGTGTTTCTCACAACCCCAGAGTGAAAACAGGTCATATGTTACATGCATGTTGGTTCGGTGCCTCCTTCATGAATACTCAGTGTTCTTCCATAAGCTGTTGCACATGTGTGTTCAGCCAGCCTGGCCAACATGGAGCTCCTGCCCAGCTGCTCCCGCTCCGAAGCGCCTCTTCCTGGCTGTGGTCTTGGGCAGAGGCTGGGCTTCCCAGCCTGGGGATGGCTTTCCTGCAGCTTGTGCTCTTTACCAGAAACAAAGTCTCCTCTTTTTTTCCAAACTTACAGATTAGTGATTTTTTTTTTTTTTTTTGAGATGGAATCTCACTCTGCTGCCCAGGCTGGAGTGCAGTGGCACAATCTCAGCTCACTACAGCCTCCGCCTCCTGGTTCAAGCAATTCTCCTGTCTCAGCCTCCCGAGTAGCTAGGATTACAGGCATAACCCATGCCTGGCTAATTTTTGTATTTTTAGTAGAGACAGGATTTCACCACGTTGGCCAGGCTGCTCTCAAACTCCTCATCTCAAGTGATCCACCTGCCTTGACCTTCCAAATGTGCTAGGATTACAGGCCTGAGCCAGATTTGTGATTTTCTTAAGTGAACACAAGCAGTTATTCAATTCCCTTCTCAGGAGGCAGCTACTTTCACCCGTTCTTTCTCTCCGTCTCTCTCCATCTGTCTGCCTGGCTCTTCTGTATACGCGCACACAGCCCATTCTCATTATTCCTGGAGGTTCCGTTCTGTACAATCTCTACCGGCACCGAATAACCGAGTACGGAACCATCGCTCCTGCAGGGAGCACAGCGTTAGGGTCTCAGGAGCCTCTGCTCACAACGTTCTCATCAACCAGTCAATGTTGTATGCTGGGCCATGCCCGGTCATCACTGACGGCAGCAGGCACCAGGCAGCCCACCACCTCCCCGGTGGGGCCCACAGTCAGGGCTGGCACTCCTTCACCTTTGCCTTCTCGGCACCTGGTGCAATTTCCAGCATATGGGAAGATTTGCTGCATTGTGAATAATGAATGCTTGAGAAGTAAAATTCTCAGATAACACTGGAAACACTCAGCAGAAAGAACCAAAAAGACCTGGTGGCCAACTGTATATTATTTGCAGGAGAAATGCAGACCTAGGTGAGATGTCTAGCTGGGGTGACCAAGACTTAGTCACTTAGCAATCAAGAAAGACACCCTGCCGCGCAGAGCGGTGCTGGTGGCTTTCACAGGGCTGTGCTGTGGCGAGTGGCTGTGCTTTCTGCAGGGAAGACGCATCAGGAGCTCTGGGTTAGACTCACAGGTCTGCGTGTTCGGGATAAAATCAGGTGGATATGTGAGGCCCCAAACAGGATCCGCGACCTCCCTAAGTGCCCAGATGGAAGACGGGGTGCACAGCCCACCAGGAGCCGCTGTGGCCTGACGGGAAAGGGCTCACTCCGCTCTCCACTTGCTCTAAAGCCCTTGTGGGGACTTCAGGCACCAGAGGGAGTATGGAGAGTCACTTCTAGAAACAGTCCACCCTCACGCCAGCATTGACTGGGGCTTCTCTAGCCTGATAAATTCCAAAAGCCGCAGCAACCCAGACAAGCAGAGTCCCTGGCGATGGCCCACAGGCGCTGGGAGTAGGACGGACAGATCTCTCCTGCAGCCAGCACAGGCCCCGTCTACCTCCGTATTATGCTCTGGAGCCAAGTGAGGTGAGGACGCGTCAACAGACCCAAACATAGACTCGGGCCTTTACAGACTGAATGGCATCTCCTAGGACTAAACATGAAACTCACACTAATAAGCATCCTCTAGGTTTTCAACACAAACAAGGAAGGGGCGGAAGTTGTGTACACTCCTGCTCGACCAACAGGCCAGGGAGAGATATAAAAGCCGACAGCCCTGAGCACCTAACACACTCACACACACACACACACACACACACACTCACCCACTCACTCGCATCTCCTCCAGCTCAACCCCAGCATGGCCCCGTCCACCATGTCCGCCTGCTCCAGTGACCTGAGCTACGGCAGCCGCGTCTGCCTGCCCGGCTCCTGTGACTCTTGCTCCGACTCCTGGCAGGTGGACGACTGCCCAGAGAGCTGCTGCCAGCCCCCCTGCTGCGCCCCCAGCTGCTGCGCCCCGGCCCCCTGCCTGACCCTGGTCTGCACCCCGGCGAGCTGTGTGTCCAGCCCCTGCTGCCAGGTGGCCTGTGAGCCCAGCCCCTGCCAATCAGGCTGCACCAGCTCCTGCACACCCTCGTGCTGCCAGCAGTCTAGCTGCCAGCTGGCTTGCTGCACCTCCTCCCCCTGCCAGCAGGCCTGCTGTGTGCCCGTCTGCTGCAAGTCTGTCTGCTGTGTGCCCACCTGCTCTGAGGACTCCTCTTCATGCTGCCAGCAGTCTAGCTGCCAGCCGGCTTGCTGCACCTCCTCCCCCTGTCAGCAGGCCTGCTGTGCACCCATCTGCTGCAAGCCTGTCTGCTGTGTGCCCATCTGCTCTGGGGCTTCCTCTCTGTGCTGCCAGCAGTCTAGCTGCCAGCCTGCTTGCTGCACCTCCTCCCCGTGTCAGCAGGCCTGCTGTGTGCCCACCTGCTCTGAGGACTCCTCTTCATGCTGCCAGCAGTCTAGCTGCCAGCCGGCTTGCTGTGCCTCCTCCCCCTGTCAGCAGGCCTGCTGTGCACCCATCTGCTGCAAGTCCATCTGCTGCAAGCCTGTCTGCTGTGTGCCCGTCTGCTCTGGGGCTTCCTCTCTGTGCTGCCAGCAGTCTAGCTGCCAGCCTGCTTGCTGTGCCTCCTCCCCGTGTCAGCAGTCCTGCTGTGTGCCCATCTGCTGCAAGCCCGTGTGCTGTGTGCCCACCTGCTCTGGGGCTTCCACTTCATGCTGCCAGAAGTCTAGCTGCCAGCCGGCTTGCTGCACCACCTCCTGCTGCAGACCCTCCTCCTCCGTGTCCCTGCTCTGCCGCCCCGTGTGCAGGCCTGCCTGCTGTGTGCCCGTCCCCTCCTGCTGTGCCCCCGCCTCCTCCTGCCAGCCCAGCTGCTGCCGCCCGGCCTCCTGCGTGTCCCTCCTCTGCCACCCCGCGTGCTCCCGCCCGGCCTGGTGAGACTCCACCTCCACCCAGAAGTCCAGCTGCTGAGTGATCTCCTTAAGATCATCCAGAGCCTGAGTGCTCGCTGCCACCTGCACCCCGGGATTCCTTGCCCTTGATGGCTGTGCAGCCCCCGCTCCTGAGCCTGCCATGGGCGTCCGTGGTCAGCTGGCCACCCAGCATGCAGTCTTCCTCCTGGCAGCAGCTCAGCTGTTTCTTCAAGTCTTGACTTTCCCCCAAGCACCCAGCCCTGCCTCCCCAGCAACAGGTGGGCAGTGACCCCAGCAAGACCAGCCGGGTCCGCTCAGGCCATGGCCCAGTGTGGTGAGAAGGGAGGGCAGACCCGCGTCAGGTGTAGGTGTCTTGTCACTGCTCGACTCAGTGGCAAGGCCGGCCTCTGCCCAGCTGTGGCCTTGGCCTTGTTCTCTGTCTTCCCCGACAACAGGAACAGGTCAGACCCTTCCAATAAATTCCTTTCCTAAAA